AACGCTGTTTTACCAGTGAAAGAAAAAAGCGATCTTACCCCGGATATAAATTTTCTCTTTGGTTTTCTGCAAAATGCAATCTTCAAATGTCAGCATGGTGTTGCATGCTGCCTGACATTTTAATGTGCTTTTAAAGTTATGTATAGTTCTTTATCATTTAAAATTATTTTTAAGGGATTAAAGTTAGCCTCACGCAATGAATGGAGTTGATTTGAATTGATTGCAGTATGCAATCCAACCCACTCATAGAAACCCATGAATATAAGATGCTCTGTAGTTCTGCCAATTATCAGAGAAGCAGCATTGTGTATCTTCAGCAGCCTGATTGAGGGTGTGCTGCTCAGAAGGTGTCATCTCTCGTCTTTATTTTCATTAGGTACCTGTCGTTGCCCAGGTCAAGCATATCCAGTCCAAACCACAATGCCAGCAGTTACAAAACGGGGCAATTCACAGTAACTTCTTTCAAAACAAGTTCACAGTAACTCCTTTCAAAACACGAGACTAATCTCAAGCTGATCAGCCAATCCCTATTTCTCAGCTGGCTGCAGATATTCCATCAACAAATCTCCCAAATAGCTGAAACACTGCTGAAAGCTAGTGAATTCTGAAAAGGCGTAGGAAAAACTACCATATTAAATGTTCTTCCAGCTGCATTCAAGCAGTTTGTAAAGATCACAGTATATGCGTCTCATAGGAGTAGAGGCAAACTTCCTTCTCAAAATTATGTTGTTTGAGATGTTTTATACTGTTGTACAAAACCCAGGTGAGACTGCTTGCAATACGTAGCTCTTGTCACCAGCTTAGGCAAGAGGACTGTCCTCTGTCCTGGGAGAGGTGCATAGGAGGACTACTAGGAATGAAACTAAACATGAGCCCCTCTGCCTTGGGAGAGCGCCTAATGTATTCAACCCATGAGACTGGACTAGAGTTAATGTAGTGCAGAAGGTATCTAGTGTAGCTGTTGGAATCTCAGCGCTGCATTTCATGCAGTACATTTGCTTCTGTTGGACTTCAGCACTTTCTAATGTAGACTTAGCCTGTGATGACCAGGAGGAGTCTATCTTGGAAATTAAACAAGCCTGTATTGTGTAGCCTAGCGAAACAAAGGGTAAGAACAACATCATTATTTCCTGTATATTATCACAGTGGGAAGTAAAGTATTAAACTGAAGGATTATCACTGCTGTACATAAAAAGGTTGTCAACTGTCCGTGAATAAATGTTGCTGAAAATTAGAAAAGGTCTATCCCTGAAAGATTCTGGGAAAGTGTTTCTGTTAAGAGTCATTGAAGATATACTACCTGACTTATTTTAAAATGGAGCCTGGTAAATGCATTCATAGAAAAATTGGGTGTAAATTTCAATGAAAAAGACTTTTCTGAAAGAAATATCACTTACATTGACATCTGATAATCCCATGGAAAAATATTTTGCTCACTGTACTCGATTTTCAGATTATTCCATATTATTTTGTATATTTCATGGAAATGAGAAGCAGCATGCCACCATGACAGATAAAATGATTCTGTAGTTTAGGGGTGAAGATTTAGTGTTATATATACCAAGAATAAGCCTGGATAGCTAGGCAGTGACTATGAGTCCTTGTACTCTCAAAAGTTGATGGGAAATGGCTGCTGTGTCCAAAAAGATGTAAGCACCAACCCTCAGAATACCGCTTCCATACAAAGCGTCTACTTCCTAAAGCATCAAATCCCCAACAATTATTAATCGCTCTTGAAAATGTTAGCTGAACTTTTCATTCATCTCTATTTACATAAGCAGCCAACCAGTCTGTATATTATATGGTAATTTTGTAGTTCTGTAGAAGGACCATGGGTCAAATCTGAAATTCAAATTCAGTTCCACAGGTGGAAGGCAGAAAGTCATTACCTGTGAGTAATACTAAATATTTAACTTACCTTTTTGAGAAGAAGGCCAGACGCTAATCTAACTGGTAAAGGGATATCATCATGTGGAAAATGCATGTTTCTGCTTGAAAATTTTGTATTGAAAATTTTTGTGTATTACAATTCACAATTAAGATTGCTGTAGTTAATGACAATTTCCTATTATTTCTGATTAACCTGTGCATTTGATACCTTCCTATCTACAGATCATTAGGAATTAATTCTCCAAACAGCTTGGGCTACCAGAGATCTGCAGACTTTTTTTTTACATGCTTGTGAATGCCCAGACAGCCGTAGGCACAGGCCTCAGCAATGGATACCCATGACCTTACTGCCTACTTTGTCTTTGGCTGAATTTAATGTGGCTGGAGAGAATAGAAGGTGTGCAGGGATCTCAAAGACTTCAAGGAGAGGGCTCCACCACAGGCCCTTATGATGAACTTAAGAAGTACTGGCAGGGCCCAGGCAGAAAGGGGAATAAGAGGGGAGCCTCCAATCTGAGTGTTGCATGCCGAGCATGAGCCCCTGACCCTCTCTGACCTTTCAGTTTGTGCTCTGCTGACCGCCAGATCTCTCCTGCATGAGAAGGGAGCATGCAGTGAATTACTTGTGTGGCTGGAGATGTAGGAGATTGTTCCGTCAGTCTTTCCCTCCAACCAGGAACGTGATCTCTGAGGGGTTTCTACCCTCATCTGCCGCAAAGCCACCTCCTCCTTTCCTCAGCATGCTCTCCCCCGTAGCTTTTGTGACTGTGAGACAATGTGGTAAACTGGATCAGTGAACTAATTGCACCAAAAATAGCCTGCAAAATTAAAAAAGACAAGCCACATGGGTTTGATATACCACACTGCTGCACATGGAGTTAGGGATCAGCCGTAGAGAGGGTCTGGGATAGAGAGAGTAGGGTTTCCTTAAGCCAGTTTGTCCTTGAAAGAAAATGCAGAGAACCGTAACCAGAGTTGTTCTAACTTGCTGTGAAGGCACATTCTGAGATGTCATCAGAATAGCAAAAAATGCTTTTTCAATTCGTTATTTATAATGTGAAATAAAGATTACTTTTTATTATTACAGATAGGAATACATACAGAGAAAATAAAAAATGTATATATAGAGAAAATGGTAATATTTCTGTTTTTTTTTTTAAACCTAATCTCTTTTTAAATAACTCACTGAGAAAATCTGCAAGGAAAACAAAAGCCTCTGTTTAGGTTTAAAGAGAAGGAATGTGATTAGCAATCTTGGCATTAAAAGCATTTTAGAAGCTTAATGGACCCATGGAAAGAACAACAAGCCATTAAAATACTAAATTGTGTAGATGACGGTATTCTGATATCAGCTGCTCTGCGATAGTGATATCTGAATTAATATTGGTTTATAAGCAGAGGCATGTTTTATATGAATTAAAATGCACTGTATTTAGTTGTAAAATTAATATACCTCTTATAGTAATATCACAGATTATCCTGCTTTGCTATAGTGTGGGCAAGTTACAAAGTCTGTAAGCTAAATCATGGCCCAGTGATTTAGCAAGCGATTAAACTACACATTGAATCAAATATGTAGCAGCTAAAAAAGAAAAGTTTACTTCAGATGCAGCCTAACTGATTAGCATTGTATTGATTTTCTACTAATTTTCTGAATTGAGATTTATTTTCTTGTTTTCTGTTTGAGTGTTAATTTGTTACATTTATTATATAATCTGTGTGTATCTGTTTTTGGAGAATGTAATTAATAGTTAGGATAATTAACTGAATCCATTCAGAGATAACTTGTCTTGTACTACATTAAGAAAAAATATATACATCTTATTTCCTCCACCCTCACTCAGTTTAATATGCCTAATTTTTACAGGATAAATTTGCACAGTATTGTGAATGAAATCTCACGCTTGTGGGGGTTATCTGCAGGTAGAAATGTTCTTTTTGGTATGCTTACAGCTGTGAAGCATATGGACTTTAGTCACAATGTCTGAGATCATGAAAATTAGGCCTTGATTATGCCTAATTAAAATGACAATTAACACATTTGATTAACTTTAAATATGGGGTGATTAGGTGATTAAGGGTATGTCAGCCCTTAATGTACCCCTGGCTAAGCAAGCTAGATATAGTCAAAATAGAAAAAAAAAAATCTGTGCGGTAGCGTTCTGATACTATAGAGCATGAAATTAATGGGTTGTTGTTTTATAACATCAAAATCTATGCAGTTTCTTCAGAGAGCTGCAGAAATAAGCAGAGAAAGAGAAAAGAAATGGTGTCACAAGATAAATAGATTTTAACCAGCAATTGGATTCAACAAGGCAAGTGTTTTCTAATGAGTATTACTTCTTACTCTTTAAAGACCAGTGATTATCTTGCCATGTTATTTCTCAAGTAGAGTTCATTCTGATGTTAAGAGAAATTCACACTATGTATCTATATGTATATTTAGTTATTTTTCTATCTATTGTGCCTTTTTCTGATGAAGGATCTCAAAGCTGTAGGAAGTTAGAAGTGTGTTCTGGTTCCTCTCGCACAGCGATGAAATGGGGAAAGATGGCACAGGGAGAAACTTTCTAAATTTTTTCTTCATCTTACGCAGCTCCACAGGGATAGCACTGTTAAGACTCTTTTCAGAGCGTCTTTTAAGACACTCTCCCCTGCTATTGAAGGGACCCCATGGTCTTCCACCATGGAATTCCTCAAAATATATATGGAAACGTTCTGACTCTCTCTAGTGTCTGAAAGAAGGCTAGTGTGTATCCAGTCCGTGAAGAATAACTACCCCAAGGTAAGCTATCTGGTGGCCTATAGCAAGAGCATTCACCAGAGCAGTGAAGCTCAAGGGCTGATTGAAATAGTGGTGGCTGGTGTGAATGCAGGTACGTGTTCCTGTGAGGTAGGTTTTAGGTTTGGGGTTTTTTGGTTTTTGCATGCATGAAACCAAGGGTCAAGAAATGGGAAAACAAGAGATGCATCATTAATGCCTCTTCTTTCTGTTTTATTCATTTGTTTTTCAGGAAAATAAAGGAAAGTTTGGAGTGCTTTCCTGTCAAACTCAATAACCTGATCCACATACTTGTACAGATGTCAGTGACAGGCTCTGCCAAGCCTGCAGCTCCGGAGATTGTTCCCCAAGAATGGATCGTGCTGGACGCAGAGAAAGCAATTGCAAGAGCAACCGTTTTAGGGTTCAACAAAAAGCCTCACTCCGTACGTATTATTTTCTGAACTTGCCCTCATTTACCTTGATCTTTAACTACTCTTCCATGAGCTTACATACTCTCCCTCTACTGTTATATAAGATGTGATTGTGCCATATTGGAAGGATCACAGGATAAGCAGCAGTGCCATAAGCAATGAGATTCTGGAGAGAAATAACACCAGGCAGACAGCTATTAGCAGGGAGCCATTAAGGAGAACAGTTCCTGCCCTGTAGTGAAAAATAAATCAAGAGCTAATTAAAGCATCCAGAAGGAAAGCATGGCACAAAATTAGGAAGCCTAATAGAAATTGGGGGCTGTTATATGATGCTTTAATGGTGCATTATTAGTTTTCACACACTGCAGTGATCTTTCAGTGTTTGAGTTGTATGCTATCCAGGCAAGTTTCTCTTTCTATACAGCAAAGACTATAAATTACAGACTGAATTCTCTGGCACTTGGCACTACATTAAAGAAAGGTTTTTCTTTGTTAAAACCACCCTATATTTTCTCTTGTACTTTTTTTTTAATGTATCTCTCTGATCATTTCTCTTTTCTGCTTCTCCTTTCTTCTCATTACAGCTGTATCTAGTCCAGGTGGTGCAAACCTGCAATGTGGTCACTTTTGTGGAAAAATCATTCGACCAGTTCTCAAAACTTCACAGCCGTCTCCAGAAGCAATTTCCATCACATACCCTCCCAGAGTAAGGCAGCATATTAGTGAATGTTATTCTGCTGCTAAATAGTTTCCTCTGTGCGCAGATAAAAATGTGAGAAAATGTATAGCAGATGTATTTTTAGAAACACAAAGGCAATACAACATATTCTATCAAGCCTTTTATTCATTCTAGAAGAAACTGAATCATAGACTATTGTGACCGTCTGACTTTTATATATTTTATTATTCCCTTTTTAATGGAGAGGGGTGAGGAAGAGGGAAACAGATGGAACAGCTGTGGGCCTAACACAGCTATTTCTGAAATCAAAGGGTAAATGGTATTGACTTCATTAAAAGCATGATAGAGCCTTTAATAGCTTTTATTTTTGCATGGTGCTGGTCAAAACTCCTGGCCAGATCAGTATATTAGGGCAATATAGGAACGTTCACACTGGGTAAGAACAAAAACAAGCTGATCTCTGACACTGGCAGGCATGATCAGCTTCTTTATGAACAGATGCATGTACTCCCCAAGTGAGACATGTTTGATGATCTTACCTGTTCTGACCCCTCCAAACATTACTCTATGCCTTGCATCATTCATTTGAATGTCCGTGGAAAAATATGATGTCATTAGTTTCAATTACTCTGAATATTCCTGTTTATCCATGCACATGTCCATTCCTGTTTTGAATCTTCTCAGCTGTTGTCCTCACAACTTCTTAAGTCAGTGAGTCCTGACTTATTTCTGTTTTACGTAAAACAAACATCTTTTCCTTATATAATCATTTTCCATGACTTTGATAGTATCAATGTTATGTATATTACAACTATCACATACATTATACTGTATATACCACTGAGAACAAAATAGTCTTCTCTTAAACAGTTATACTGACTCACATAATGCAAGTCCCTCTTCAGGCTCAAACTACAGTAAACGTAAAACCAGCCAAAAAGACAAGCAGTCTACTTGAACCATGCTGAGATTCAAGTGATATGCATGAAAAATAGAAAGCTCTTTCTTGTTTGAACTGAAATAAATAGTCATAGTCACCATAGTTTTGACTTAATATTAAGGCCACAAATTTCAGATCCAAATTTGATGTTCCCCCAAGTTTGTGAGAGGCATTCAGTTAAATGGCTTGAGATTGGTTAATTTTAGCAAATATTTCCCTTACCTAAGGGAATTTTAATTGACTTACTCCAGATTGACTGATTATGACTGGTCCGTATGAACTGGTGGGCAACAGTTTGTCAGAATCTGGATTTCACTAAACACTGAAAGTACTTGAATCATTGTTTTGATTTGGACCCATTCATACCCTAACTATTAGGTGGTAAAGAAAAATATTTAACATGTAGCTATTTATGATATTTTTTTCTGTGAGCACAGACCTTTAAAGGAGATGATTATTTCTTTTTAGAAATATATAGACCTCCGAAAGCCTGTAGTGATTTTCAAAAATAGTACTAGCCATTTTTCACATTAAAAAATCTACCTTTAATAAATTCATAATATTTTAAATATAAAAGAGAGTTCCAGAACTACAGAAAGTTAATCTACAGTTACTGAGGCTGTGTTTAAGAGCTTCAGAATTTTATTGTTGAAGTTCGGTCCCAAAAATAACCTGTCACTATATGATCTTGTCTCCCAAGATTGTGTTAAGCAAATTCCATGTATGATGTGTCTTTAAGTGAATGTTCATCAACGCTAAACAGTTTTGGTTTGTTTTTTTAATGGAGTTCTGTCAGTTTCAGTCTTTTCATGTATTCTTGCTTTTATTCTAATAATAAAAAACAATTTCTTTATAGGAAGTTATCACTGGAACTGCCATACCATATCAGACCATTAAATGGTCTTTGTGGTACATGCCTCCAGCATTGGCTAATTCCAGATGCTTCAAAGGAGGGCAAAAGCCTTATTCCATAATGCAACCACAAAATGAGTTTGAAAATATATGATTTAAAAGTAAAATGTCTAACATTACAAGAATAATTGGAACTGCTAGCTGAAAGGACTTGGTTACTCCGTTATATTTCTTCATGAAATTGTATACATTCATGTTGCATTAGGAGGAAATAATACCGTATGATTCTGCTTGTTAGAGGTGCTAAATGCTGGCAATATCAAATGAAACTGATAACAGAAGTTCTGACTTCTCAGCATCTGAAATTTTACTCTTGGCACTCAACTATTCAGGTCTTATTTATAAGTCAGAACACAGCTGCCCCATGCAAGCCTTTGCACTCTGGCACCTTTCCTCTAATTTGGCTGTACACAGAATATGAATTGTATTTAATTGTTGTTCTTTAGAATGCTAAAAATTTTTTCACCCGGCACAGCATATAAGTGAAATAATTTATACACAGAAAACTAGTTAGTAGGAAATTTAATTTGATATTCAGGAAGTGTGTGCATAGCACATGTTTGTATTTTTCAGATCTACTTAAAATACATGCAAAGCTCAAAATCAGCTTGGAAACCCAACCTTTTCTAACACAAGTGTGTGCGCAACTGGGAAGCTGGTTTCAGCCACAGGTGCAATCCAGCAATAGCATGAATTTTAAAGAAGTGTTGAGCACTACAAGGCTCATATTGTCCTTCACTGGAGCAGAGAATTATGGATGCCATCAATCAGCAGTTTGCCTGAAGTTAAAGATAATGCATATATGTGTTCTCAGTTTGATCACTGTACTTAGGATCCATCTTTTGAGGTCCTACATTTTACAGCTAGAGTCCCCTCTTTGTCTTACTGAGTCTGATTAATTTTAAGCTGCTTCCAAATAGAGCCTTGCTACCATCTCTTGAAAGCCATGCTTTTGTGCACCCGGAGGAAACCAAAACATTCAGAGGCTATGTATAGCTATTAGATGACCGTGGCTCTATTTTTAGCTGTGCAGCTGATGTATTTCATGATCCTGGGTCATGTCATTTCCCCTTTCCCATGATATGTTCTAGCACTGTAATTTCTTAAGGCAAGAATTGTCTCTCACTGCTCATTTGTACAGTGCCTAACTGAGCCCTAATATTTCAGTGCTGCAGAAAAAAATAACCAAAAGGCTATACATGCAATGTGCTGCTATCATCCTGGTCCCTTACCATTTTAATTGCAAGCTATGATATACCAGTGCTTTCCTCAGAAGTGTTGCAGAAAATAGGTAAAGCTCTGTTCTCTCCTAGAAGGAATTACAATATCTTGTTAATCAGTACTCTCTTCATAAAAGGCCTTCTGTTACAAAACAAACTTAAGAAAAAAAAAAGAATAGCTCTAATTACAGTTCATAAAATCTAATTACCTCAAATCTCTTGGTGACAAAAACTGTGGGTTAATCATCTTAGGTCATTTTCCTTTTCACTAGGTGAGGCTGCTGTTTGCCATTTTTACAGCTGGGTGGTTTGCAGAGCTGGCCAATGTTTGTCTCTAGGGATGGGAATCCAGTGCTCCATGTGCTGTTATTTGGCTGGCCTTTGAAAAGCTGATGACATCTTATCACTGAGCTGTGGAATTGGATAAAACCTGTTCAGAGTAGGATCTGACCAGCAGGCTTTCAAAAGGCCAGCCAAGTGTCTCTTTTCAGTGCATTGCACTGGTAGCTGGCTCTTTAGTCATTTGTCCGAAGCCTTCAGATATCTTTTGAGACCTGCTGGATAAACAACGTTATAGCAGAAAAAAGGGGTTTGTAAACCAGACACTGTTAAGTGTTTACAGTAGAGATGTGAAATGAAATACAACCGGGTCGAAACTCCCACTGTTCTAAATCATAGAGTTCAGAGGATATAAAGCATAATATTAGTTTAACCATCTCAATATCAGTAAGCAATGTCACAAAACCCACTACATGCAATTTAACACAGGTAGCTTTTCTGATGCTTATACAGCCTGAGAGAGAAAGAGTCCTTGTCAGGTCAAGGTAAATATAAATCAATTATATGTATTATTTAAAATCTAACCTTTTAACTGATAACGACATGCATTGTCTTGAAAAATGCAAAGATGATTCAAGTGAAGAAAATGGGGCTTTGACATTTTCAGTCATCACAGCATTTGAAAGTTGACGCAAGACCACTCTGTTCATACGTGGTTTATTTACTAAAACCGAATGAAATTATTGTTAATAAAAATCCTGCAAGTATATTACTATTACTATTACTGTTATTACTGCTTTTGTTAGATTTGATTTTGTTACTGTAATGATAATTTATGTTCATAAATTATTTTTATTATAGTAGTGTCTGAAATTACACATGGGATGAGGGACCTGCTCTGAAAAGCTTGTTTACATTCTAAATAGCTGAGCTGAAAAAAAAGGCAAGCAAAAATGCATTCATAAAATGTTACACTGTTGCTGCAAGACTTTTGTCATTCAGTAATATAAAGTAGGGGCCTGTATAGCATGAACTCTGGGCTGAGATCAGAGATCTGTTGTAGTGTGCACAGTGAAAAAATGGAGGTGGTACTGCATTCCTGGGATCAGAAAAGGGTCAGATTTTTCAAAAGGGAGTTAGACGCTGGAAAATGCAAATAAGTGCTTTTGTGATTTTTTTAATACATTTTTGTAAAAAACCTTAGTGATTTAGACAGAAAAAGGGGTAGGCTATGAAAGAGAATGTCAGCAAATTATTAGAGGAAAAGGACCAGAATTGAGCAGTAAGTTATCTTCTGGACATTACACTTTCCCTTCCGCTTCCCACAAAAGCTCTTAGAAAGTGTCAATATTATTTTGTAAAGTAGTGTTGGAAATATTTTCAGCAAATATATTGCAAGAGTAAGTAAAAGTGAAGTAAGCAAAACTTACAAATATTCTTTTTTGCAGGTTTCCCCACTCGCAGCATTTACCTTTTCCAGGTCTTGAACATAAAAGAGTGAAGGATTTGAATCTCTATCTGAAGCAGTTATTAAGTGGATCCAGGAAACTGGCTAATGTGAGCACTTCCAGTATTTGTTTTTGGTAATGATAGCATATATTACTCTTAGTGGTAGTGTATCAAAAGAATCAGGAAGTTTTTCCACATCCTCATTTAAAAAAATAAATGACACAAGTGACACTTCTACTCCTTATATAGCCCTTTTGAGACAGAACGATCGTAGCATTCATCAGGCTTGAAGACAAAGATAAGACTGACTGAAAAACAGTTTGTTAGAACCTGCAGGGTATTTTTCAAAATAACTTACCTTCCTCAGCAAAAGTGGTGATTCACTGAATTTTTGACAGTAAAGAGTTGGTTCTGAAGAATGTAATGTCTAAAAAGGGGGTAAGTTCTGAAATATGGAAAAGTCTGATTTTGACAGTTCTTAAAAGAAAAGTTCCATTGTTTCAGCCTAGCATTACTTTGTTTCAAAATTTAAGTTAACATGTAGAAAAATTATTTTGCAAACACAAGACCAAAATCAAAGTGTTTCAATATGATCAGAATGATACATTGTATCCATTCAAATTGGTATTTTCTCATGTTTAATTCATTATTGTTTTCTGGGAGTTGATGTTTTCCTCCTGTTTCAAGGTGGAAAGCTGCAATAGTAACTGACTCGTCATTGCTTGGCCCAGCAGAAAGCCTATGCACTGTGATGGCCATAAAACCTGGGGCCTGGAGCATCCAACAGGCCCCACACACCCTCCCAGGGTTTAAAATAATTCCACTGCATCACTCCAGAAGCTGAACAGTCAATTACTGTTGTGGCACCAGGGTCTGAGAGAAAGAAGTGTTCTTGCAGTGTCCAACGATTGTCAGGAAAGTTGTCTGGCAGGCAGGAGACAAAGGTGATCACATTAGATTTGATGGTTACATATTTCCTAGTAAACTAAAGGGAGCCAAGGCATGACCGCATGCAGTAATCCTTGCTCTTTCACTCTTGGCATGTTCTCTAGGAGAGAGCCGGTGCCTGTGCCAGAAGAGTCATGTCGTGTCCCTTGGCCTAAGGGTCGTAGGACTCACTCGAGCTAGTTTGCTTTCGCAGCATAGACCTTAGTCTAAGAAGGCCAAGAGGAGGGTAGAACAGGATTTTTTTTCTTTAAAATTTCAAACATCTTGCAGGATGGGAAGAAATGTTTTCTACCTAACTATATAACTTATCCAGCTGTGATTACATAACCAAGGTTAAAGAGGAAATTATCCACGTGTAAAACGAACAGGCCTCTTGTTGTTGTTATTAATAAAAATTCTGTGTCCTGAGTTGAAATGGAGATTTCCAAAGACAGATCATATCTGTGTCAGGGAGTTACCCTTAGTTTAACAAAGAGAGTTGACTTGGGAGCTTGGCTCCCTTGACTGACTTGGCAAATAAACGACACAGGTTGAGGTTAATTGTTGTGTAGTTTTTATGTCACTCAAGTTAGGGTCATGAGCTTGTTTTACAGTAGCACCTTTTGGTCACAGCCGAGAAAAACAGATATAAGTCAGTGACCTAGAAATGAAGAGCTCTGTATCTTCTGCTGTGCTCTGGGCTGCTGTTAAGGTACATGAATTTTCAATTTGGGCCAAGCACTGCTGTGTAGAAGCAAAGCCTACGGTTGAAAAATTAGACTGCTTGAAGCCCTGGGATAGTTATAAACACACTTTTCAGTCTCACACAGAAGCTCTCCTCTCCTTCCTGTTCAGTGGTCTATAAATGGCCTAATAACCAGCTGGAACGCACTAGCTTGTAATGGGCTTACCAATTCATTTCCTCTTCCCTTTATGATCCTGCAGTGTGCGTCAGCTGAGTCAGGTACGTTCTCCAGCTAGGTTGCTGTTGGGTCACGGAGACGAAATAGGGACTTCAGAGGGTGATATGAACAGGTCTGTTCAGAGATATACGCTGGTATTGCTCTAAACCCTCCAGTGGGGCTCATATAGGCATGCTGGACTGTTCAGTTAGGCACTGTTTAGTTACGGAAAACAAACAGTTCAAGTCTAGTATAGACCGTACCCATGAACCACGAGGAGAAAACAGCTTTGTTTCCTAAGGAGTGTGTATAGCTCAGACGTGTGTATAGCTAATGCTGTGCTAGATGTGGAAGGCATGGTAATACATGGGGTAAAGAGCAGATTGTTTTCCTCTGTAGAGTGCTATTGTGGTCTGGAAATCATCTTGCTGACCACCACATATCTAACCAGTAATTCTTGGTGATAACCTTTAAAATTATTGGCACTCCACAAACATTGCATCATGATTTTTACTTCAATATGCCTCTCCTGCTGGGAGATGTGAGAAATTTAGAAAATACTGACGTATTCTGACCCACTTTGAACAAGGAGACCAGTCAGTGGGTAATTTCCTTTGTATTCACAGCAGAAGGTCTCTTTTTTACTTTTCCTTTTAGTGTCCTTTTTTCCTTCTTCTTTTTAAAAGTGTCATGTTGTCTGCTTGGTTTTACTGTGAGCAGAAAGCCAAGATAGGAGGCTTTCTTGATAAAAATAAATACAATCATTCTTTTCTTTCTTCATGCCTTGGACAATTTTCCAGTCAAATTTATCCTTTTCCTGAAACTAATAGGAAGCTTGGTCTAAACCTTTTAGTGAGATATCTGTTCCTGAGCATTACCAAAATGTCATTCCAATGAAATAGTAAAATTATGTAGTAATAAATAATTAATTCAGAAATTTTTGAAGAAACCTTGTAAGAGCAGATGCCTGTGGAACAGGGTTCCCTGGTCTTTCTTGACATAATCATTTCTCTCTGCTGAATTGTATTTTAGCTGGGTGGTACCCTGAGGTATGGTCTGAGATTGTACAAAAAAAGGATGAGTGTTTATTTCATTATTAACTACCCTTGCTACCACTGCAAACACATTGCTCTGATTGAGTAGACACAATGGACCACCTTTTACAGCTCTGAAAAGTTTAGTCCAGCCCCCACAAGACCAACTGGAAAATTGGTTCTACCAATTAAGTAATGAAAAATCCTAGAAATAAAAAAAGAATTAGATTACATACAGAATCCTTCCTGAGTCATGCCTTAAGTGTGTGCTTTTCAGTCCAGACTAAGTTCTGATTATGAAAATTATGTTATGATTAAGAGTAGGTCAGAATGTCACTGACATTCTGCTAAATGGTTTGAATGAAGGAGAAGAGGTGGAAAATAGCTGCCTTCTCATTTGTACTGTAGCTTGAATAAGAATTAAATGTTTCTTTAAACCCTTCTTTAAAGAACAGAAACTTCAAACCATCCTTCTCCATCACTGAGTTTTAGTATCAGACCCAGTAAACAGAGAAACATTAGGTGATGGAGGTATTTGCTGTGGGGCTAGTTTAAAACTAAACATGTGCTTATGCCCACTCCAATGCAAAGCAGTTTTTAAGCCCGTGGTTTACTTTAACCACGAGCCTTGTTTGTTGACTTCCTTTTAGACATGCGTTGAAGAGCTGCCTAGTAGAGGAGCACTTTTTTTAAATCCAGGTTAACACTCAGTTATAAATAACTACAGTCAGGCAATACCTTTGAACAAAAAGCTATATTCTTTACATCAGTCACTAAAATGCAAAGTTCATAAATAATGCCAACTGAATTTTCTTTTGTGATGTATTGCAGCCAGTAAGTTTCTGCCTCCGAGCAGGAATTAAATTAGGTATTTAGGAAATACTGATGCACCTTCATTTTCAGATTGAATCACTTAGGACAGGATCAAGAAAGAGGTTTCAACATCACTTTTAGCTTTGTTCTACTCCCATCAAATCATTGGCAATCTATGTGAGAAGAATAAGAATATTTAGTTTCACACCAGTTGCACCATTGCTGACTGGTTGATTGGTTGGCTGCATGTGTAGGATTGTCTGGGTCTTCTAGGACAGGATAAACCTGACAACGTATTTGACAGTGTTTAGACTCCTGGAGTTTTGCTTCATTAAATGACAGAATAACCGAGCGGTGCCACAACACATAGGTGAAGCATCAAGAGACAATAAATTGAAGGTTGGAAATATGGAGGAAGACAAAATTACACATTATCACACTATAAATCAAATCTATGACAAAGGGCAGCTGCTGCCAGCTGCTTTTACATTTTTTTTCTATTTCACTCTTCAACTGAGTGATGGGCTGAATAGATATTGCAGTCCAAACCCCAGAACATATCATGTAAATTAGGGCTGCCCTAGTGGATTGTCATTTTAATGCTGTATTATAGGGTTGCACACTCCCTGGGGACAAGGTAAGCAAGGTAAGGCTCCATTAATTGAGTGAGCTCTTAGCCCTGGTGTCAAGCAGCAGCTTTTTAGCTATTGGCAGAGTTGAATTTGTTCTTGCTTATCTTGAAAGGACAAGTTGCACCTGGCTTGGGCATTACAAATAAAAAATTAGAAATACACAACTGAATATAAGGCAATGTTTCATGTAGCAAACCTGTGCATTTGATACGATCAGCCAGGCTGTAACTCTCTGAGGATAACTTCCCCATCTCTCATCACTTAAATGAAGTGGCATTTAATGTGTGGATGCTGTTATTGATAGCATAGCTCAAAGACAGTAGATGTACATACTGATCTTGCAAAAATACACAGCCTTAAATAAACATGCATTATTTGTCCCACATCTTGCAGATAGATTGGTTTGGGTGTGAGTGTGGTGGGCTTGGATTTTAGGGGTGGGTGGGGACATGGCAAAAGTCATAAAAAGCACAAGGGCACAGTAGGCTAACCAGTAGAAAGAAATGAGGTTTATTGGCTTTTGCCTCTATACAAATGTTCTTTGTAAGTATCCAAATTATCATTCTAAAAACTTTGAGGTCAAAGGTAAACCTAGTGCAAGCAGATAAGCAAACATTGACAGTGTATCAGATATGGGTATATGCCATAAACAGCTTTATAGTCACTTATAGGCAAAGTCTCTTACACCGTGGCTGGGTAAAAAAGCTTTAAAGTGGATGTAAATGGAATGATTGTAAATAGCATGCACTCATTTTCAAACATACAGTGAAAACCAGGCCCACAGCCTTGCTCTAGAGTGACTAATGTTTTACGCTACAAAAGTAATCAAGTTTGATATCGGGCTTCCCATATTTCATTTGTATTTTATTCACTGGAGCTACTCTGGATTTACAGAGATCAGAAAATAGCTGCAGCAGTCCTCATATGGAGTTACTTAACACTGTGAACATGAAGTGCGTCTGAGGTGCGGGGGTCCCTTAAACTCTCATGTACTCCTGCAGGCAGATGTCAAGCAGAGCCAAAATGGGGAGGGTTCAAAGTCTTCTCTTTTCCCCTGTCCTTTCCTGAAGATAGAATATCTGCAGCAAGGTCAGCTTTTTCTGGTTTATTTCTTTGCTGCTGCTTCTCCATCCTGTTAAAGTATAACTGGTGCATGGGTGTTCTCTGACTCCAAATGTACTCTTAACGCAGTTGAAAAGCTAGCTGAAGGGACAGGAGAGGCTCTTCTTCAGAACAAAATTGAATCTGGCCAGAAATCTGTCTGTGTTTCCCTAACAGCAGAGTGCTTTTCTAGTTAGGCTGTAATGTAATGGAAAGCGCTAGACATATTCTGCTGTGCTACAGCAGTGCAGGCCTGTGTACCAGCTCCCCTGAGGCCAGTGAAATTGCGTAATTCAGTTGTATCCTAGTGTAAATGAAGATGAAATGTGTCCCTTTTGAGTTTAATGGCTGAATAAAGACCATGATTTCTAAGCAGCACAACACTGATGTGCCCCTACATACCTGGGTGCTCCCCAACAGCTTAGTGTTTTTGGCTGATCTGGAAAAATATCAAAAATTACATTTTGAAGATTGTTTTCTTATTAGGTAAGAGTAGTTAGACATGTGATAGGAGGGTTTCCTAAATATCCCAATACAGATAGTGTCTTAGGGAATTTAATTTCCATTTGCTGAGTTGAAGGTAATAATTCCGGGAGAGAAAAGGTAGGTGGATGTTTGTGGCCATCTTTGGTGCCTGTCCATCTGCCAAGATTGTCACAGGGTCTCTAAGATTCCCACCTGTGGGCGCATGTCTTTGCAGTAGCAAGTGCTTATTTAGAAGCAGAGTCTGTCCACCAAAATAATTTGCCAAACACTTTTGATCATGTGTACATTTAAGGCTCTGATATGTCTGCTTCTATTTAGCAATATGAATAGATGCATGCTTAACTCTAAACGTATGCTTCAGCCCTGTTGACCGGAGTCCCATTGATTGAAGTCCCATTGACTTCAACAGGATTTAGGAATCAGCTGAAAGTTTGGTTTGCGCTTTGGTGGTCTGCTGACTAAGGATGACCTCAAGAATGTATTTACTTTGCTGAAGGAAACCTAACTGGTGCTGTCCTGCAGTAGGCAGACTTACTCAGCTCAGGGTGCAATTGCTGACTTGTGAGTAGCAGGGTACAAAGTGCCTATTGCCACAAACATGTAGCAGATCACCTCTGTGCCTTTTGAAGCACTTTGCCCTGGATAAGTTGCAAAATCTGTCCCTGTAACCTGACCTGTTGAATTATTTTTTTTCTTTTCCATTTGCCATCATTAGCCTTGCTGCTTCCCCACGTGCTTCAATATCTGGCTGAGTACAGTGGATGCACAGACAGGGAATGCTTTGAAATGAGCCTTGTGGCACCAGCAGTGTATATGCCCATCATGTTCATGCCTGAATGTAAGATTTTGCACCAGTTCCACTTGTGTTTTTAAACTGTCATTTTTTCAGAATGCTATTTCCTTTAGAAATGAGAATTTGGAACTATCACCTGAAATAATCCCCCCACCGCCCATTTACTAACCTTTCTGTTCACTATTACATGTATCATTGCTTATTGCTGAAGGGGTGAGCAGAGAGGAAGCAGAACACCAAGCTGCTCAGTACAGAATTTTTTATTTCTCTTTCAAGTCAGTTAGTGTATCCTTCCTTCCACCTCCTGCCTACTTCTCTCAAGATGTTTGAACTAGAAAGGCTACTTAAGTTTCTCTGCTTATTTTCATGCTGTCAGGTAAAGGCCGCGCTGCCAAAAATATACTCTTTCAACCCCTGAGATTTCCTACACTTGGGACTTGTGCTGAAAGAGCAAATGCGGATCCACGGAGAATAACCCTGTTAGTTAAAGCTGCCACAGCCTGAAGCAGGTGTATGGGCTTTCCCTATAAACTAGCCTCATGAGACGAGAGAATAATCGATAATGCTCAGAATGGGCAGCTATTTACACTGCTAATAGCTTAATGATTTGTGATTCAGTTCAAGGAAAATAAGCTTTTCGGTTGATTTTTTTCTGTTCTTTTTTTAAAATAAAATATCAGTGTGGGATGAAAAATTCCAAACAGTAGAATGAATAATAAAAGGCAACTGCTAAAATAAATCCAAATTGCTGAATCTTATCTCCGTACTGAACATACTCACCTTGTTCCTCTGTCTAACCCAGATGTTAACTGCTCACTAGCTGCATTTGTCACTAACCCCTTCCATTTCGAGTTTTTTTTTTTTGTCTTGCACAAATCGTGCCACATCTTGTCAAACTGAAACAAGACAAATGCTACATGAAGTACATCCTGTTGATAACAGACATATTATTTTCTGTAGCCTGGAAAAAAAACAATGGTGACATTTTAATGCTAGAATCTGAAAAGTCTCTTCTTTAGCCCATTTGTTACAGTGTCAGTCCAAGTAACATCAGTATGAATGTAGCAATTCTAACTGTGTTAAAAATGGGCATTCTGAAATATAACTTTATGAAAAAGCTAATGAAATGCAATAACTGTTCACCTTTGATTCAGAATCATAAGGGTTCATTTCAGAATTCATATTTTTATTGCCTTGCACAATACTCAAATCTGGGGGTCAGGTTTATTGTTTTAATTCCCTAAAGCTGGGTGCAACTACCTGTTATATATGTTCACTAGAACAGTACAGGTCACTGCATAAAAATAAAAATTATAGTGCAGTGCATAAGGTGGATGACTCCTTTAGCAGGATGGGAAATAAAATCATCCGTTTCATTCCCCATTGCTCTCCGGTAGGAGTTAACTCTGTAAGGACCTGTTCAGTGTTGATTAAGCCCCGTGCAAGGTATGTGCGATGTCTAAGCCTAAGGGAGGCTACAGATTAGGTCAGATGTCAGGAGCTGGTCTTGTGCCAAGGGTGAAATTCATGCTGACTACACAGTAAAGGTGTTCTCCTGCGTTTATTTCACTGTAAAAGCAGTTGCTGCTGCTAATATGTGTGTTGAAACACCACAGATCAAGTAAGAATGCAAATATATAGCCCTCTTGGCACACTGCTATTTGAAAGTATGTTGATAGAAAGGAGCCAGGTAGGCAGCAGCAAAGCCTCCCTGAGCCAGTGATAAGGGGCAGCACTGTCCTCCCAGTCCTTCTGCCTCGGCAGAAGTCATTTCCTTCAGAAGTGGTTAGGTCCTTGGTTTTATCCCAAAGCAGCATAACAGCAGTAAGGACTTCCTGCCCGTGATCAGAGGGGAAAGGCTTCCCATTATTGCTAATTCTAATATATACGTTAGAAGCCTACTAGCAATCTGCTCTAAATGAATTAATTTAAGGAAGAAAGCACAACATATGATGTTCCCTGAAGTATTTTTGTTTTCTTTCAGAATGAGCTTGTACTCAGCTTCTTCCTGAATTGGTCCAAAAATACATTCACAGAAGAATCATCATCTGTGATCTTAGGTATGTGGATTACTAATCTTATTTGTTTTCTAAGCAGGAGTTCTTTAAAAATATTAAATATAATAATGCAAAGGTGAGTCTAAAGTGTTCAGTGTGGCTTTTTTTGTGGATATATAGATAGCCAACAAATAATTCCTAACTCCTCAAGGTCTGTGAAAATGTTTTAGTAATGTGACCTGCAGGTTTATTTCACTTTGGCATATTCTCCTCACCCTTGCTTCATTTCTTTTTGAATAAACATACCTACATGCAAAGTAAATGTTTATTTGCACAAACTGTGGCAGCTTTCTTGTTTTACAAAACAAAATCTTCAGGGAAGAATCTAGAGGAAAGGATTTGAGTCATGATAAAGCACAATGTATATTTCGACAAGTAAAGAAAATTAGGGATGACTTCTAAAGAAATCATTTTCACAATGAATGGAGCAGGTAAATAACAGAACATTATGTTAATAGCTAGGCATACATTATTAATAATAGTTGTAATTCACTTCTCACTAAATCAGATTCTGCATTGTTTCCGTTACCTATGTAGATACTTAACCCATTTCCCTCTTCTGTCCAGCGCCTAATTTAATCTCATCTCTGGCATTACAGCATTAAGCAACAAAGCATAAGCCATATGATGTAAACCATGAATGTTTTATTGTCCTCCACTGCACTGAAGATCATCTTCAGCAGTCAATTTTTAGGCAAAAAAAAAATCTCATAAAGAAGTCTGCAGCTGCGCTCTGCACTGAAACAATTCAGCTGCTTGTTATGTGTTGCAAGTGATAAGAAGTTTCAAAGATCACCAGTTATCCACGTTTCAGAACGGAGTGCAAGTGTCTCAGCATATTTTGTTGGGATGTCCGTTATGTTAATATCTCCTCTCTGCAAACAGGGGCTTTACTGTCTGTTTTGCTGGGACCCTTTTATTTAATCCATCAAAACAAAGTAAATCCTTCTCTGACTTCCCAGCCTTTGGAAGATTCCGCCTGTGTGGAGCTTATTTGACTAGGGTATGCCATTATCATATTACATTTGTTAAGGCAATTGGAAATTGCTAGTGGGTGTGCTAACCTATACAAAGGAATATTGCAAAGATAGCCTAGTTGTTAGGAAGGTACAAAGCTAAATTTTGTCACCAAACAATCCAAACTACAGTTCAAATGCAACCTGTAGTCTGCATCCATAGGCTACCTGTCTCTATAGATTCTTTAACCAACGATGTGGGCATGTGAGAGTGAGCTGAGGCATAAAGAAATTTAAGCCCTAGATCCTGATAGGGATTCTGACATTTCAGTAGGATTTAGGTGCCTAATAATTACAGAGAATTGGGGTGTAAATATATCATGCAAAAGCATGAATTGAGTCTGTAATAAAGTCGAGAATTAAGTTACAGTCTCATAACTCCTGGAGTGCTGTTCCTAGCCAATATAAATGGAAGGGTAAGCCCTGCATTTTGCGGTCAGTGGCGTCACAATGGGAGAAGAAAATACAAAAATAAAGGTAAGAATGTATTTACTGAGTGTTTAATGAAAGCTATGTGACAGATAACCCCACCTGCTTGTTCACTGTGAAGTTACTGGTCCTGTTAAGTGAAGGTCACAGACTGGTCAGGGGAGATTAATGTGTCTCTGGCCTCCAGCAGTATGGTTACAGAAAGGGTTTTTTTCCTGTTCGGAAATGCTGCCTTTTGAAGTTTGGACACTTTATTTCTAGACTCAGCACAAAACCTGTGCGTGACAGAAAAAAAAAGTCTCCCTCTGACCTAGAAAATTCATTATTATTATTTATTAACGGAATACCTGTGGCATAGAAGGGTCCAATTAGTTTAGACTGTGTAAAATAGAGAACAAGAATGATGCCTGAGCTGCTTTTGGTATCACTCCGCTTCTGGGCAGTGAGGTGGGGAGCGTTCATGGTCCGCAGTGAACCACAGTGAACTGTGGAAATATGTGAGCTCAGCTGTAAATGACCTAGCTTAGGTATGAGAAGAAGATCACCCATGCACGTGCTAATTATCCTCTTGAATTTTATTTTTTTATAAAAGTTAGTCTATGCATAGCTCCTTGTTGTTGGAGTTAAGACTCCTGTATCCCATATCCTCTTCTGCTCGTATGTGAGCCAGCTCACATATCTGTACATTGCGGGAAAAGTACAGTGCATTGGCTCTGCAGGGTCTTATTTGCTAAGAGTGCCCTGAAATGCTCTTGATTTGAATGTAAGCTCTTTAGAAATGCCATAGTCAGGGACTAGGGCAGGAAATAAGTTCATTGAGTAGGCAGGGGAGAGGCAATTACTTTGAAGCAAATACATCCTTCACCCGCAGATTTCATTGCTTTATGAGCTTATAAGGCCCTTCATTTTTATCTGTTTTAAAGAATAACTCAGGTTTAATATGGCTTTAATATGGCCTATACCTTTCCATGAATGTAGTGATTTCTCCCTCAGCCTTTACACAATCAAATCATCTGTCTCTTTGGTAGGATCAATATAAAATAAAGCCAATGCCCAGTACAAGCAGGTTATGAATTTTGATCAAGACAGCATCTTTCTCTTACACTGTTTTAATTTATAAATGTTGTAGGTAATTACACTTACTAAAGTAAAATAAAAATTAAAATTTATGAATTTGTACTGTGCTCCTAGCAATGAAGAGATTAAAAATCAGTGCTAAATTTACTTTGACATGAATACTGATTCATTATTCCCAGTGGGGTGAATTCTGAATTATACTGGATATTGCCAGCATTTCATTATACCAAGCTCACTACAAGGGAGGTAGAGCAGGATACATTGGGAATAATTTCACAGACAGCATTTCATAAAAGCCCTTAAAAACAAACAAGAACAAAAATCCATCAAAATCATTTTGATATCAATCTATGTAGTTTATTTTTCTGCTCTTCCCTGAAAGTATTAATTTCTGCTCTTCCCCTGAAAGACTGTTCTGTCAAAATTATGAAATCATGAAGTCTTTGCTGTTTGTTGTAACAGTGCGCAACACAAGTCAAGTTCTGGCATGTTTGACTACTGCTAAGTTCATTTCAATGGGCTTCTGTCCATTTAGTGAAGTAGAGGAGCTCAGTCTGTGTCTTTCTAAAGCAAAACTCAAGCTTCCTGAAAAGAAAAATGCACAGTACGCCTCTCCATGCAGAATACCGATCTTCTTGAATAGTGCCTAGGGAGAGTAGGCTATTTTTCGCATGTTACATAGTGTTTCTGTCTACTGCAGATGCTCATTCTCAATGTAAAGCTTTGGACATGAGTTGCATTTCTACTTCAAATGCATTTAATGTTTCACTGCCATCAGTACGACATGTTGGCTTACAGAACTAAAGCAACGAGAGGGTGTGATGAGTTAATGTATCTACGGCTGCATATCTGAAGTTGAATACATTGGAGGCTTATAATTCCTTTCCAAGCTGTAGCTAAAGCAAGCAGCCAATGGACTTACACTGTTCCTGGGAAACAAAATGGGTTCCAGTACCCTTTTGCTGCCAGGTGTCAAAACAGGCCATCAGCAAGAAAAAAGTTGTGAGAGCAATCTAAGGGTGTAGAAGATAGAGTAATACTTACTGCCCTTATGGTAGTGCTGTGATGCTTAAATAGCATTTGCACGTTGCTCTGCAGTCCACATGTGAAATGCAGTGTATCATTAAAATATAGTTTCCCTGCAGAAGATTTGTTCAATTTTCTGTGCAGCAGCTATCACAGTTTATATTTCTCATGCATTGTGCAAAGCGTGATACAGAGCCTGTTTTAAAATGTTGCTAATGAAAACATTGAACAAAATGCAGAATGGCTGGTAGTTCTCCCCCCTGCTGAAAAAGACCAGCTAGATAAAGAAAGGAACCACATGTTTAACGACTCTGGAGATTGTACCACCTTAGACAGAAATTAATTCGAATGCTAATTTCCTTAATTTTGTCATCCAAAAAGAAAGAAATAGTTCCACAGTTGTCCAGTGCGTGTGTTCCTTGATGAAAGAGGTTGTAAACTGTCACGACGTTTGAGTGCGTCTGCAGTATGTATTGGCAGCTTACTTTCATCTACACTCTGGAGTTGAGGGATACACAAATACAAGTCATAGTGAAAAATGCTGTGAATGCCATTTCAGCTATGGGCAGTCAAACGGCAGGGCTCTCATTTGATATTTGACAGCTTTTCCATTGACACCAGTGAGTGAAGAATCAATCCCTGGCAGGGAAATCTCTTCAGCTGAAGTCAATGAGGCTTTAACCTGTGTCTATAACAGACTGGCATTTGGCCCTTGCATGTAATGGAGGGCAAGTAGAGCATGACAGTTCCTAAAAATGCGGGGCCTGAACTCAAGTCCATCTGCCCAAGCTGGATAGACTAGAAGTAATAATCGTGTGTGTACTTTATAATCATTTGAAGTTCAAATCAACTAGACTTCAAAGGGACTGTGATTTAGCACTAAATGTGGGAAAACCTAAAATACAATCTAACAGCTGAGTATAGATGACAATAACTGTCTTTTACTATGAAACATAGGTGATAGAAGTTTTTGCCATGTGTATCAGACTCCTTGCATTTGGTTCCTTTTTCCTTTTCCTTCATTTTTTGTTTCTATTTTGTTGGTTAGTGCTCAACTTATTACATAGCAAAAGAAAATGTTTTAGTAATAGCCATGCTCTTAATGTCTTTTTCAGACTTCATTTTGAATACTCAATTAGAAATGCATTTTCCCCTCCTATGCTTTTCATTATTTTCGACTTGGTTAAAAGCTTATTTGCATTTGTTTCTTGAAAATGAAAGTACTAAGTCCCACAGAAAAATTCCTCCACTGGATATAAACATTCACACTATAAAACTTAAATAAAGCAGAAAAAACAGTGGTAGTACTGGCAGAAAAAAAAAAAGGCATAATGTTCAACTGAATACAAATGATATAATTTAGTCTCTGAGATCTGCTGGTTTTTCTAAACTGCTTGGGATGACCCACTGCAATTCACAATATTAGCAAAGCCCCTCAAGAGAATTGTGCCCTTATGTTCCAGCATGACTCCCTTGTATTATACTGTGTTTTATGCTCTAGGTACGTTTCCTATTGCAACTTAAAGGAAAAGTCCCACATATTTGTAAAAAATGGTAAAATTATCGCTTTGGATGGGAACAGAAACAATTTTATTTGCCTTTTTTACCCTGGAAAAAAAATTAACGTTTTGTGGGTCATGGAGTTTTCATTTCCTGTCATCCCCTATCCCCCTCTCTGTCCCTATTTGCATACAAGCAGGGAAACAAGGTATTGTCTAGCTAAGTGATTTGTCAAAGTTCATAAAAGGTAATGACAAATTAAGAACTGCACCTAGGTGTTCCAAGTCCCAGCTTAGTGATTTCATCATAAGATTTCAATTCTTCAGGAGTCTGTTTCAGGCCCTTCTCTAATTAGTATGTGATTAAAAATGAATTTTTGTGGTCTCTAAAGGGAAGAAATTTGAGATGGATTCATATTCTGAAATTCCAGTTCAAACATCAAATGCTCAGAAGTGTTTGTATGCAGACTGCTTGGAAAATTTATATTACGGCAATTGTATATACACACTTGGGTTATTTTTCATTCATCTGATTACCTTTCCTTAGGATAAATGGCAATTGCACCAGCTCTCTGGGTGTCCTTAATACATTACACCACTGTAATTCCATCTACTTAGCAGTTACTTTAGCCTCCATTCACTCTAGAGTTTATGCTCTCAGTTTCTTCAGAAAAATATAGCCAACATGGCTTATTTTTTATAACCTCCCCTCTGCTGCCTCCTCTGCTGAATAACAGAGGGAGAGCTGAGGAGAGGGAGTTTGATATCTTGTTCTTATAACCCTGGCTCTTAACAGCTCTGATGCACATGCGGAAAAGAGACAGAGAGAGCAAAAATGAGTGCAGAAACATCTGCTAAGACTGAAAGGAAGATGTGAAAATCCTGTCTGTGCTGGTGATGCTATTTAGGATAAACAGTCCTGATACTTCCAGAAAAACCTCCTGATGCTAGCTCAAAATCCTAGTGTGCGATGGTAGTTCTTTAATTCTCATCTTGCTTCTTTATTCCTTCCTCTTTTGAAAAGATGATATTTCTATTTAAAGAATTAACTACTAGTATATTGTTTTGTCTCGTGTCGTTGTCTCATCCCACGGTGGGTTTAAGGCCGGCATGTCAGGGTGGCAGATTCTGAGACACTTGCAGGGGAGGAGCACTTTTCTCTTCGAGGTCTTAAGGTCAGCTACCCTTTTCATAGTGAGGAAAGTAAAGCAGAACTCAGCTCACACGAGCTCACTATTTTGTCATAAGGTTAGCAGGATTAGATTCTCGTTTTCTGCAATATAGTAAATATATATTACTGGATGTTATATGGCTGCAGTCTAAATAAACGAAGCCCTGTTTGCATAAGTAACACTGGCCTAGTTTAGCCAAGTAGTGCCTGTTTTGTCTTCGACGATCACGTTGTGGGGAGAACTGTGGGCCCCAGACCAAGTGGTGCAAAATGGCTCATATCCACCCTGCTCAGGGTTAGTATGGCAAAATAAGAAGGTCAGGTGGATATGGAGAGGAGGTTATTGTGCTGCCCGTTATCTGGTTTATCCTAGTAACCACTATCTATATATTTTCTCCACTGTCTCTGTGAGGCAGGTAAGCCACCTACCTCACCTTAAGGACACAGCTTTTTGGCAATAAAGACAGCTGGCTCAATGCCTCCAGAAAAAGAAGGAAAAAGATATGCTTAGTCATTTCTTCCATATTATGAGCTTGGTCCTTCTTGCTTGGAAACTGAAGAATGTTTTGTCACTGACTTCAGTGGGAGCAGAGTCAGACTCTGTAAATGTATTTTAGTAGAAAATGTGTGAAAGCATTGGCTGCATGAAAACAAGCCTGGAACAGAGACAAATACAGAGTGAGAAAGGGAGAATTTGTGTCAGTCGGATATAGATATTGTTACTGTAAATCTACAATTGTTTGGAACCTGTCTGCAAACCTGTATGTAATTTTTTTCTTTCAGTTTAGAACTGTAAAAAAGAATCCAACATTTTTAGTTAGACAGAAGAATTGCAACAACAGTGGTTAGTGCCATCAATGGTTGCAAAAAACCCACCAATTATTTATAACTTAAGCATAAATTTCCCACTGAAATTCTGATTGATGTCAATTATAAAACCTAAAACCTCACTATCAATGAATAAGCAAGCAAGAAAATGAGCACTGCATGTCAAACTACTTCTTTAACGTTTGTATCCTACTCCTTATCAATGTTCTCTAATTTCGTCCCTGATTTAAGCAGGTAATAGTCTGTTTATATATTAGTTCATGTGTATAGCAGTATTTTAGACATGTGTTTCCACTGCTCTGTTCACTAAAAAAAAATCAACCTATTTGGCATGTTTTAGGTCCTCAATCAACTGATCATAAGCCTGGCGTACAATTACTCATATCCTATGAGGGCACCCAACTGACAATAATGTTGAAACATATGAGGAACATTGTAAGTATTTTTATCATAATCTGTTAAGCGTAAGCCTTTACGTTTGCAGAGTACTGTGAGAACATAAATCCTCGAACACTCTTTCTGGGAAAAGTAATTTTAACTCAAAATTATGGTGATGCTTTCCTGTCATCATTAACACTATCTTTCTTCCTTTGCTCTTGCTCAGCATGGTTGTAGGTGTGGGAGAGGTGAACTATGTTGGCTTAATGGCTGGCAATGATCTTTTCCAGGCCATACACAAAACTAGCTTTGATGACTGTTTTGACCCTTTCAGCTGGCATATTTTGTTAACATCAGACATAAGGTGTCATGGCACCAGCATGACTTTTTGTGGGATGTCAGTGTGGGGTTATGGCAGTTGACTGATTATCCATACGCTTCCCTCAAGTCAGATGTAACTGGTGTATCAACAGGGAAGAACTTGGCAGACGGAGCTGTGGTGTATTTTAAGAAGCTATGTCATTTGGTATGATGATGCTCAGCTTTGTAACACACTGTCTTTTGTGAGGCTAAGTGGTAAATGCTGGAACCAGACTATGAGAGGAGGAAGCTGGCAGAGCTCCCGCAACACAAGGCAGGTGAAATGAGCTGGTGAAAATATCTTGAGAGACGTAGCTGGTGCCGTGTGCGTCCCCTCAGCAGAGGCAGCGTGTCCGCTATTTCATAGTGAGTTCAGCTGCCTAGATTTGCTCTTGAATTCCCGGTTGCTCAAGTCTCAAGTAATGGCTGCGGCTTAGAGACCTTCGCCATCTTTGTATAACTAGGAGATTAAACCACTTCTTAGCCGATGCAGGTTCTTATTGCGTACGAGTCACATGAGGCTTCCATAGCTCCAACTGTTGTCTGTTGGCTACTTTGGCTTCTGCTTTGCAATTCAAGCATTTTCATTTTGGTCTGTAACATCCAATAACATTTGAGTCCTGAGAGACTTGTCTTTTGTTTCCTCTGCCCCAGCTTGATAGGTGAGATCAGCCTCTCCCGACAGGTCCAGTTTAGAGGAACTTCTAGCTGGCACAACATTTTTCAGTGTTACACAGACAGAGCCTATAATATTTTACTTTCAGGATGCAGTATAAGGCCCTCTTTTTTTTTTTTTTTTTTTTTTTTTGTGCTTTCTTAAACCAGAATGACTTCGATAAACTTCTGGTAAAGTTCTGGCTGGTGGAAGGAGTGTATTTAAATGGTACAAACAAATTGTCGTTTTTGTAGCCTTACTGTGAGTTCAGGCAGATGATGTGCAGATGTGTGGGAACAGAACAACAACTATTGAAAGCGGTTTTTCTCCTTGTTTCTATCATTTTAGGCATAAAGGCTGTGTTCTTTAACTTGGAAAGTTCCAACCATTTTAATTAAATAAAAACAAATTACAGCATAGATAGCTCTGCAGAGCAAAATTTAAATCTGGAGCTCAGCTCAGTTTATTATGGAAAGGGACAATGCAACTTTAAGTTATTATCTAGCGTTTGGAAGTTGATGCCTTGCAGTCAAATCCAATACAGTCAAATTGTAGTGAGATTATAGAAAAGAGCTACAGATCCAATTCAGTAAGACTAACAATGATTCATGACTTCAAAGTAAGGTCACTATTTAAGCAGCCAAACTTTGGCAATCATGTTTGTAAATCCTGGGCTTGTGTATCCTTCCTTTTTTCTGTCCGTCTATCCATCATCCTCTGGTCTAAATTATAAAATAGCTCTGCTCTGTGATAGTGGACTACCTTCAGACTAGTAACCTAGAAAAGAAAGGTTCCCTCTCACATTAGTAATCTTTTCAGCTTTCCAGTCCCATAGATCAATATCTCTATCGTGCTCTCTTTTCTTTTCCTTTCTTTTTTACTTTTTTTTTTTTTGATCAGAACAGGGATTTAAAAGTATGCCAAGATGATATCTTATTCAAGACATGTTAAAGCTATTTCAGGTACATTCAGTCTTTTGCAGAGTCTCACTAATTATATTTTAGTGGTTCATCTGTGCAGAGATTACTCTACCGTCTTGTTTAATTTTGTAATTTATCGTAAATAATTTTTGTACTGCTCTCTCCCATTTAATTTATCGCTTTATAGAGATTCTATGATATGTTGAGATGCAAAAATAATTGTAGTGGGCCAAATTCATCCCAAATGTGGACTCTCTGAACTGACAGGAGTTGTGATGGAGAATGACTTTGATCCATTTAAATAATTTTTATGTTTATATTTTTATTGTTTGTATGGGGTTCGTTCTAGGGATTTTAATAAGAGATCTAGATCTTGCTGTGCCACTCTTATATTAATACGTAATGCACAAGATAATCTCTAAAGAGCTGGTGCTGGTGGTTTATAGCCATTGTCAAGTGTCATATAGGTTCTTTAAAGGAGGGAGTTGAAAAAAGTGCAGCACAATAGCTTTAAGGGTTTTTTTCATGAAGCTACTCCCATTCATGTAGAATGTCACAGAAGAAAATGCTATCACACTTGAGAGAGAGTTGGTCCGGTGCAGACCTGCCAGAGGACTGTCTCATGGGCGCGCCTGCATGGATTTCGCAGTGCAGGAGGCGCTTCTGATCTGAGACGTTCATGCATCCACATGTGCCAGATTTACTGCATGTATACAAATCAGTTGTTCCTCGATCTACTTCCGAATGTCCCCTCCCTAATCACAGCAGCATTTCAGTCGTGTTAGGAAAGCCAGTCCTGCTTGAAGAAAACTCTCTTAAATATGCCTCAAAGAACAACAACAGAGTAGAACAGCCTCATGAATTTTTGAGCTTGGAAAGGACCATCTAATCTAACCTCCAATATAACACAGACTATATTTTCTCACTGAGAAAATACTTGTGTCTAGACCAGGAATGAAGGCACTGAAACTATTTGAATGGAGGGATGTAAGACTGGTTGCAAATGTCTGTCTCCACTTAATGACTGGGGGCATACAGCAAAGAGGAATTCCGTTAGACAGAAAATTATGGGTTACCAAAAGTGTTTTGAAGTCTCATGATTTTCCTCAGAATTTTATAGTTTTCTTTGAATCCTGAGATTCTGGAAGTCAGGTGACTCACATCAGATTCTCAGCTTCTGCTGATGATTTAAAGGGCATCACCGTGGTTGCTGAGAAAAGCTTTAATCCAATTTTCAAAGATGCAAAAGCCATGATGCTAATAAAATGCAATCTTCTAAACATGTGTATTATATAATTTTAAGTCAGTCTCTTGGGGCGTTACAGCACTCAAATACAGGCAGTACAATACTGTGCACAGGCAGTACAGGCAGCATTGTCTTAATCAAGCAAAGCTGGAAGGCTAGAAGCAAATCAAAATGAGCCTTGGCATAATGATGAAAACCAGAGAGGTTATATGGAGAGATTGGGAGCTTTTGCTTCTCCATCTGGGGAGGATATAGCAGCAGATGGGGCTGGAGCAGGACTAGCTTCTTACACAGACTCAGCAATGCCGTACCTGACAAAGTGCACTAAGCGGTCTTAGGAGAGAGACGTAGGATCCAGGGCAAGGTTTGTTTTGGCATTTGGAATGACTCCTCAGCTAAGAGCAAGAGCAAACCAGCTGTGGCAGCACAACAAGGAGAATGGCAGCAGACAGGAACAGAACAGGGAGAGGCAGAAAGCAAGCCTGAGGGACTGCCTTAAAGCCACAGGCTGCTACATCTGCGTAGAAACTGTGCAATGAGATTTATGAACATTGAAAGAGATGTAGGTTTTGAACTTGAAATGCTCAAGTCCACTGCCCTTCATCTATGTTACCTAACACAGAGAATGTGGGAAATCAAGATCTTAGCAGTTTTTACATAGAGAGGACTAGGGGCTAGCTTAGTACTGAGTAGCCAGCAGCAGCCAGCTTAAACGCTGCTGCAGCGCGGGGTTCTCTTGTCTAATCAGAGACAAGAGGCAGAGGAAACAGCTATTTCTGATGATCAGAAAAGGTTTGGTTAATAAGTTTTTTGCTGCTTCACAGAGAACCAGAGGGGAATAGTAGTTCACACTGGCACAGAAGTGTGTTTTTTCTGGTGAATTCGTTGCCATGACTTCAGGCATGCCCTGTTTTTCTAGATAAGCAGCTAAACTTTCCAATCCTTGCTGCTAAGCATTCTTGCCCATTACTTCTTGTGGACAGAATAACTCCTCAGGGCTAGTGGGGAGCAGAAACAAAGCCAGCTTGTCCTTGAGCCTCATGCCAATAAATGTTGCTAAAATTCAGTAAAGCATGTGTGGGTGATGAATTCAGAACCAATTTTACAAGGGGAAAATATGCTAGAAGAAAAATAAGCTCCTACAGTACTTTCCAAAACTACATCCAACCTTCCTTTTATAAAAGCTGTCATGAAACACTCCTGATGATTAATGATTCTAGGATAGCTGATATTTGGGTGACAAATCAGTAATCAGCTTTAGACTTACACAGACATCCAGCCTCTTTTCCACTTCGTGTCCTGCACCATATGAGTACAAATTGCTTCCAAAAACATTTGTGAAATGTGATAGATGAAGGGCTTTGGGAAGAAAGGTGAGAGCCAAGCTTTCTCTAAGCCAAGGGGATGAAATATATTTTAAGCCTTCAGGTGCAGGGCAGTAGGGAAGTTCCCAAGAGCAGTACAGGTAAATGCTTCCCCTGCCTTTGCTTGGGCTTTGGCTTTAGTTTGACCTTGGAAGGGGGTGGGAATTTCTTGTTGCATCAGAGTTGGTTCCCGTCTGTGCTCTCATCGGCTTGCTGATGCTTATGCTTTAAGAATTGTTATTATGTACAGATCTAAATGGAAAGAAAATGTATTACCTGCCAGCCATGCTATGCCCATTAGTTAAATAAAGGGCCACATTAGACCCTTTCAGAATATTAGGAATGTAACCTGCTTGCTTTACTACAGCCCTTGGGTTAGCCAACAAAGATAGGGAAGAACTTCCATAGCTAGGTGAAGCCTAGCAAATTGCCCACAGATGGAAAGTAACTGGGAAGAAATCTCTTTGAGCTAAACAAAAATCATTCAGAAAGATAAGTATTAGTGACAATTA